AAATGCTTTGAAACAAACAAAACCAGCTATAACCAACATTACATTATCCTGAATGATGTACTGTACAACCTTTTGCATTTGTTATTAGTTTATTATTATTATTAATACTTCTGAGAAAAACACTAACAACTATTAGAGTTTGCATCTAGAAATTATGTAGTCTTATTCTTTATAGGCAATTATTATTTTTTATTGCTATGCAGTTGTCGTAATATTTCAAAACATTAAATGCTGTAGTATCTGATGTTGTATACAAGGAATTACAGTAAGCTTTAAGGAATCAGCAGTGAATATAAAAGAGCTACAAGGGAACATGATAAGCAGAGAACATCAGTGGCATCACGCTTGGGTGCTGATGGGGGCGGAGCGCCAGGGCCCCCATGCACGAGGGGCCCTAACATTGTAGTTAAAAAAAAAAATATATACTATAATACCATGGTTTCATTCAATGGGGCCTCGACAGTTTTAAACATTGAAAATACATTGGTCAGCTGACTAATTTTGTGGGCATGTAAGGCTATCCTTATATTGTGGCTACAGTATGCGACAACTTGGGGTTCAAGCAAAAAGTTTCTAATGAAAATTATTGCACGTCTGCCAATTTACTAGTGACAACTATGATGGCAGAAGATAGGTTACCCAAGAGCAATTTACATGGTTTCCAATTGCTCTAACTTCACATCTCTGTAACACAGAGTCATTGACTTGATCACATGAGCAATAAATAAGACCACCACAACTATTCAATAAGGTTGTTGCACCTTCATATACTCTGTGGAACTTGTTTATTGCGATTTTAATGACAAAACATTAAAAAAACATTATACAGTTTAAGAGTCTCTCTCATCTACTGTAAACATTCAATATTTTCTTAATATTGCACTAAAACGGTGTTCACAGAAATATCTAATTTTGTAGTGAGCAAGATAAGATGCTTCCCTGGCAATATGTTCCAAGATATCATTAACAAAGCTGTTCATGATTCCCTTGGCTCTACTGGAGATACCAGTGTCGGGATGAACTTGTAATTACTACAAGTTGTAGGCTGTCAGGCATGGTGTTCCTCTCCAATATTTTAAGGGTGTTGGTTCAATTAAGCGGAATACCAACAATTTTTTTTCCCACATTATTAAATACTAGCCAACGCCTGAGTACCTACTTATGCATTTATGAAAATTAATAATCATAACTATTTTTCTCTCATTATGTTAGTCCTGTGACCTCCAATGCCATTTGTTTATTCAGTTTACTAATTTCACAAGTCTGACAAATTATTATTTTTTTCACATTATTAAAAACTACCACGCAGAAGCCCGAGTACTTACTTACGTATTCATTAAAATTGATAATTATAACTATATTTTTTCTAAGTTAGTCCTGTGACCTCCAATGCCATTTGTTCATTCAGTGCACTAATTTTACAAGTCTGACAAATTATTATTTTTTCACAGTATTAAAAGACTACACTTTTTTAAAATAAGAACCAGTAAAATTTTGCCCAGGCTCAGTGTTCTTATTTTTTGGCCGATTTCAGGCTTAAAATGTTCTTATTTTGTTCTTATTTTACACAATTCTCAAACATAGAAAATTATTATGCTACAGCAATAAACACTGCACTGGAATGTACAGTAGGTAAAAGTGGCCTTGGAAAAAATGCCCGGAAAAAAATGGCCCCAAATGACAGGTATGGTAAGTACAGTACACTGTAAAGTAGGCCTACTGTTTTTCATAGTCACACCTACACATAAACAACAGATATTTTTTGGTTTTCTAGTTTTTTTAAATAAAAATCTCATTTGACATTTTTACCTCAGACTCAATTTGTTCTTATTTTTAAAAATAATTTCAGCCTCAGTGTTCTCATTAAAAAAAGTGTAACACACAGAAGCCAGAGTACCTGTTTATTTATGAAAATTGATAATTATTTAAATGTTAGTCCTGTGACCTCGAATGCAATTTGTTTATTCAGTGCAATAATTTTACATTTGTAGAAAACTACAATTTTCTTTTGATGTGACGCCATGTTTATTGTCTACCTTTTGATGTTCGTGGCATATCAAGACTATAATGTTGTAATTCACTTCATGGCTGAAGGTTAAATATAATCATCATAATTCATAGATGCCATGAAGACAAAAGAAAATTACACACTTTGAAAGAGAATGCTTGAGGTCAATTTGTATCGGTATTTCCCTGGCTTCACTCCTACACCTCACTGGAACTTTCCAGACTACCTCCCCCACCCTTTCCAGACAGCTTAGCCACTCTCCATTAGGCAAATCTGTTTACAACATATGTCTTAATTAGTGATCATATGTATTTAGCATTAATTAATAACGTTGGTAATGATTTTTTAGGATTCGTAACAGCATGGATATTTCTGCATCCATCTGGATACAACGTGACGATGTCAACTTCTAAAAGAAAATTAGGGCTTTGTTTAATTTTTGTCAACAAAACACCACATTGATCGATTCTGTGATTTACTGTATATAGTTTATTAATTATTGTGCAATATAGCTACCTGACCAACTACAAACTTCATTAAAAATTAGATTAAATATATTTAATCTTATTTTCTAAATTTCTATGGAAAATATTTATTAAAATTGCTATAGTATTAAAGTAGAGCACTACAATAGTTGCTTGCTATTTAATTTTAGGGTTATGGGTTCAATTCTCAAGATAGCCAAGGATTTGAAAATCAAATGAAGCACCTGTATAAAGCCAAATAAGATACAGTTTATAGTTTACAGTACACATGAAAGTGAAAGAATGAAAAAACATTACATCATTACAATTACATGCCTTTTGCTGGCAAGGAAACCTCTCAGTGGTTTTGTGCAGTTAAACAAACATCATAAACATGTATGAGAAGAAGTGACATCTTTAACGAGGTATTGCATTGCATTGTTTTGAATCCAAAAGTATTCCTGTCATAAAATTAATTTTTCCTGCGTGCTGGCTCATTGCTGTTTTTAGTTGTGATTCAAAATCGTAACTTAGTTAATATTGAAGGTTGTCCACCAGCCATGACAATATATTTCATATGAAATATTTTATTTTGTTTTTGATAAACACAATACTTAGATGCAGAATGAAATCCTGACAAAATCATACTGAACTGTTAACTATTTTACTATTTAAAGTTAAGTTTGTTAAAGGCAGCCTCCGGAGGGGGAAAAAAAGTTGATATGTTGTATAACTGATTTGACACAAACAGGTAGTTCGACAAGAAACTTTGGAACGGAATGAGAGACTTATTTTTGAATATTTAAAAACTAGGGGAAATGGTGGAAAGGAAGGTTATGTTCATTTTCTGTCAGTTTTTAAATATTCATGAACCTGTACTCATTACGATTCTTGACTTTTCGTCAAACAACCTTATCGTTTCGTAAACTTCGTCCACACTATCAAATTTTAAGTGACAAATAAATGTGATAAGCCCATATTTGGGTGTAATATGACATAATCATGCCCATAATTTGTCACATAAAATTTGACAGTAGGCCTATGGATAAACTTAAAGAAAAATCAGTTGTATACCAACACTTTTTTCCTCCGGGGCCTGCATTTATAGGCCAGGGTTTCACTTACAAAAAAATAAGGGGAGTAGAGCCTTCAACTAGAGGGTTTATAGGGCTGAATATACAGTATTCAATTGGGAGTACTGTACTTCTAAATTTCATGTGGCATGATGTTATATTTCACTTATTGGCAAACACAATGGTTTAGCATTTGAATAATTAAATTGGCATAACTTGGATCACAAATGAAGGATTAACCTTTAAATAAATATTAGATCAAAAAATGTCCACAGAAAACATTTTGTATTTTAATTTCTACGACTAATTTTTTTTTCTGACCTCTATTGACTTTTAATAAAAATAATGAATAAAAAAAACCTCAATTTAGAATACGGACATTCACTATCCACTGTGCAACTATTTATATTATTTTAATAATTTCCTTTGTTCTTGAACATCAATTTAGAATACAGTCATTGTTTTTGTGAATTTTTATCAAACCTTTATTATTATTAGTCACAACAATTTTGATTGGTTCATTTTGAAAAACACTGTCAAGTTCATCAAACGTAATTCCAGTTTAAATCTACAAAGCTTACAATTTCCTGTACAGTAACACACTTTAAAATTTAATGATCTCTGAAAAAAGGTAGGTTATAGACAATAGGATACTGTTTCTTATAACACAGACAGGGCCTTAAAACAGTTTTTTTTTAAATCCAATTTCCCCACTTACAATCACATCTGCACATCATATACCTCACATGTTCATGAAGTAAAACACAGATAGGCATATCTAACAGGATAGATAATACAACAAAGTAAACTGGTGTCTAAAAAGACAAATTAAAGAAATATTGTTCTATTTATTTAATGAAAAATATATCTTTATTGAATTATTTTCTCTAATTTTTTTTTATTACAAAAAAAAACCAAAACAAAACAAAAACAAAATCACAAAGGCAAAATTGAATGCAAATATAAGATAAAAATGAAAACTCCAACGGAATTGCTGTAAAGCAAAAATTATCGTCTTCAGATTGCTATGCAGCACTACTTCAATAACCCAAAGCTAATGGTTTGGTGGCCTAAATGATCATGCATAATCCCTTTAGTTCACTATTACATAAATTTAGTCGTGTTATCATTTCTGAAATATATATTTGTAGAAAAAAAATCTGTATAGAAAGATAATATTGTATTTAATGTCCTTTTTTAAAGTGAATATGAAACTGTATTATTATACACATTTGAAATGGAAAACTAAACTAAGATAATAATGAGCATTTAGATATCATTTTTCATTTGAAAACTCATATAATGTAAACAATGAAGTTAAAGTGGTAAGGTCTAATGATTCTACAAACTGCGCATGGTATATGCATATCATATGAGCTACTAAAGACTTCAACAATGAAGATACCATACGATAGTCCTAAATTGGTAGGACTATAAAAAGAAATTAAAACATACCTTCTTTGCAGAACAGAACCAAAAACAATGTAGCAAAAATCCAGGTAAACCTCATCATGCTACTTAATATGAATTTCAATTTTCCACTTCTCCAACCGTCAAACACAACTATTAACAAAAATCCTGAATGAGAAATAATATTATTCAAGTATCTCAGTGGTAGTTTTATTTCCGACACAATTCCTCCAAAAGCCTGTGCGATGACAATGATGATGAAGATCCTACTGTTTAAGACGCATGTATTAGCACTACCTCAGTATAGCTCTCCAATTTGTTCCACAGGATGTAAGGTGTCATAGGCTTTATGTGCAAAAGTAACGCCCACATAATGGGATATTCCCATTACGCTCATAGGGGTGTCCAACCAATAATAAAGTTCACAATTTTCACATGTGAAAAAAACTTGATATGATCTTGGTGTGCAGTAGGTTATTTTCACATAAGAAATGGCTACAATTGCAATAAATGATTGTTAAATTTTAATACATGTTGAAAAAGTGGCTCATAACATCAAAATTAAAAGTAAATGAAGATTAGAAAGATTTACTTAGTCAAAAAATATAATATTTTTTGATAATTTGGTTTGCACTGTATTAGAAAAATAATTACAGTAATTACAATGGAACAAAACAAAATGAATAAAATACTTAGAAATACAATATTATCGTATACGCAGAATGGTAGAAACTGAATGGAAAAGGACAATTATACTCATATAAACAAATAAAAATCAATGTTTTTTTTATTAGAATGTTTTGAAAAAGGATGTTTTTTTAGTGGTTCATATTAATAAGACAACGCTAACAATATTATGAAGGTAGCAAAACAGTGATAAATACAAATTTAAAGTTTTTAACAAGCTGGTATATATCAGTGATATGAAAGTGTAGTATTGTTAATTAATCATATTATGATTAAATATGTATATAAATAATAACGAGAACACCAAACAGTATTAATGGTTATTTAAATATTATGTTAATATTAAACCAAATTTAATATTTACCATGTCTAATAAATACATTTCACTGGTAATTTACTGTATATGGAATCTCCACAAATCCATCAAAACTGTTCAATTTGTGTATTCAATGTTTTTTCATCTACAAGGCCTGAGGACAAATATATTTTAAGTAATTATGTTGCAATTTTCGAATTATATTGAAAATATATGTAATGTTATTTAACTAAAAAAAAAACAACAAACAAGTGACCAGCACAAATTCGCACCATTAAGCCGCACTGTAAAAGTATGTAGGCATCACTGTACAGTATTTTGTAATATTATGAGTCCATGCCTACATGTATGTCTTGGCAATTAAATTTATTCTAAATACTCTACCTTCAAATTGGCGATGCATCCTAATTTACTATCAATACATAGAAAGTTAAAACTAGACTTGCATTAGCATTTTTAAAACAAATTGCAATTTAATTAGGCAAAAGGCAATCAAACAATGTTGGCTGTTCTCACATAGGATCTGTTTTTTAGGAAGGTACCTGGTATTTCTGAATGCCAATGCACTGACTACAATAATTAGCTGCAAAATTATAAAGCTCCCAAAGGAAGCCAAGTATGCATTTAATACTGTGTGTTCGATCCAATTATGCATAGAGATCGATATATCATTATATCAGTCACACGGAAGTTGTCGCCAAGCCTGTAATCAAAACATATCTGCCTACTGTAGTGCCCACATCCTAGCGTCACCAGAATTACTTCAGGATGTTACAACTTTCCCGTTGTGGGCGTGTCTGGGTTTCAAGTTTCTTAGCAACCACAACAGCACTTTTTCTTGAAAGGGTCTACATAGTGTAGTGTTTATGTTATGTCAATATGTAGCACATGTTGATTTACAGATATTTAAAATCAAAACTAAAGTACAAACAAAAAAATAATGACTATGCAAGGTATGGTTTTCATTTCTGTTTCTCTCTTCTATTCATAGTCCTGTAAACCAGAAGGATGAGGGAAGATCCTACTGGAATCAAAAGTTGCACTTAAATTTGATGAAAGTGTGAAGTGGTTTAGTGTTTGTTTACAGTTTCCTGATAAGTTTTTTGACTGGCTCTATTTGGTACTCCTAGACTTGTTTCTGTTTAATTTTGGTGCGTAATCATGGAATAAAGTAAATTTTCCCACAATTTTTGCTAATTCAAATTTCTTAAAGCAGAAATAAACAATAAAAAATATAGTTTCTTGCTTGCAAAATGCTCCCATAAAAAGTTAAAAAATGGAATAAACAATATTTTTCAGGCCAGTTCGGTTAGTGGGACCACCTTATTTTCCCATTTAGATATTAAATTGATTCCCAGCAATACTCAAGTTGGTCATGGGCCTGTACTCAATCGTTCCATTTATTTATTTGGTGCCATATTGCCCTTTAACTGGAAAAATAAGCAGAAACAGAAAAAATATTTTAGACAGGAAGATGATATATGAAAGATAAACAATTTAATAAGGATACCGAACATCATGTTATATACTGTAGGTGAGTATTGGTTGCTGACTCTCCACAAACTAAGCCACAAAGTTGAATAACCTTTTAATTAAAACGATAGAAACATTCTTACTTAGAAGGGACAGTCCCTTAGAACTACAGTAGAATCAGACTACCATAGAGAGAACAACTTAAATAGAAACATAGAGTATACAGAATGTAGGTAGCAGAGTGACCAATAACAATAAATTTCAAAATATTGACATTTTTGTTGAAAATGATGTTTGACTATGTTAAAAAAGATAGTGGCAGGGGGAAAACAGAGGGGAAGTGTGAAGGGGGAAAGATGAAAGAAGGAAAGGAAAAAGGAAGGTGTATCAGAGGGAAAGCTGTGCCACAAAGCCAGTGGCGGATCCAGTGGGGGTTCAGGTGATTCGGACGAACCCCCCTCTGTAAAGAAATGTAAAAAAATACTACTGGGTCCTGGCTTACAAAAGGCATGCTGAAACCTCAGGGGCGGATCCAGAAATTGTCTACACCCACCTCAGCCCCAGCATGGTTGGGGCTGAGGACGTGAGCAAATTTTAAGAATATGACCCTCTAGACGCTCGAAAATGGCACTCTCAGATGGTAAAAATATGCTTTTTCAAAGCAGTGTTCCTCTACAAATAATTACTGACTTCCTCTCAACGTGAGCTATGCTTCCCTTCTCCCTCTCCCCTCACGGGCATCACAAAGGTCTAATCAAGGACCTATAGTCTATTCTATACTGGGAGTCGCAAAGCAAATTATGATTTTGGTACATCTAGATGCACGGAAATGACACTTATTCAGACTCCATTTAAAAAAAAATGTTTACAAATGCAGGGGTCCTGGTCGGGGCAACCCAACCCGCTGGATTAATATATGTCCTACAGTTGATGTCAGTGACACATTATGCTGTCTTGTATCAGCAAAGCCCTTTTGGATCAGGGTGCTATAGAGCGAGGACCCTACTGGACAATATGGGTAGGGGCACCGAAAGGCGCTCCTAAGGATCAGTGGCCCTTGGAGCAAATTTTGAGAATAGGCTCCTCTAGACGCTCGGAAATGGCACTGTCGGACGGTAAAAATGCTTTTTCAAAGCAGTGTTTCTCGACAAAATTATTGACTTCCTCCCGACGGCAGTGCACCCTTACTCGTCTGCATCTGCAACGCATTTGGAAAAGTTGAACCAGGTTCAACCTTCCTGACAACTGTCGGCGACTGTCGCCGATAGGGTGAGCGATTATATGGAAACTGAGCTTTACCTTATTGTACATAATGGGTTCCCTGAGTGGGCGGGGTCATGGAAAGAAAACGTTATGTTTGCTTGTCGCTGGAAGATTATTTTAGATGTTAGGGTGGGGGGTGGTTTGCAGCAGTCTTGGGGTTCTCCTAGCTTCGCAAAGTTTTGTTTTTTCTAGATGCTGAGAAATGCACTTACGTGCATTACGAGACTCCTATTGATGAATACACACTGAATTAATAGATTTCCCCCATTTTAGCATGGAAAATTAATAATTGTGATGATGAAGATAATGATGTGATGATAAGGAGAAGGCATCGTATCAGGTGACGACAGGCTCCTGTGCAAGGTTAATTAACAGGCCCTTTGATATGAATGTCAACCGAGGCCCGTATCCCGATTTCGTCGTCACATTTTCAATGCACAAAATCGGACAACAGTAATTATCTATAAGTTATATAATCAGTACATTCTCGACTGTCATGAAAATATCATATATCTAAAAAATTATGTTATATGCATGCTCGGAAGCGGAAATTATAACCTAAAAGTTTGATGTATGTTTCATGTTGTTTGTTGAATGGTCTTTAATGATATTATATTCTAATATGACCACAACATAAGGGAGAACACTTTTTCACCTACAAAGTTCAGATTCATATACATTTATATTTCCTTAGGCCTAAATCATAAGGAAGTCCGCTCTATATCCAAATTTTAGGAAATTATACGTTTTATGCATGCACTGACGTGGGAATTTTGTTTTATGTTGTTTGCTGAATGGTCTTCTTTAAAATTATAACAGTTTAATATGACCACAACATAAGGAAGTTTATTCTTTAAATGTTTAGTAGATAGTACAGAGAATTATCATTGTTTATCAAAATCATTATACACATGTTAAATCCAATTAAAAAAAAAAACAAAAACAAAAACGTTTTCAGTGCACGCGCCGACGTGGAAAGATTAACCTAATAATCTTGTTAATAATGCAGTTCTAAAATTAATCTTATGACCACAACTTTTAAGTTAACTTCAGAAAAAATAATAATGCATTTTCATTGTACCATCACCAGCTGGGAAAGCAATTAAATATGAATAAATGTCTTCTGTGATTGGTTGATTGCCAAAATTTCTATGCTTAGTGGTTGGATGGTCGGATATAATAATGCGTAACTCTGATAATAATTTCATATTTCGAAAAATTGTTTGGAGTATTGATCACGTTCCATGATAGATTACATCCACAGGGTGCCCCTAAGCCAAACTTTAAAAATTAAATAAAATGCGTTTTTCCGAATTACGACAGACTGAGTAGATCAGGCCTACTGGTTAAAATGTAAAAAATTAAGATTTTATTTTCAAAATCACAAATTTATATTCAGTACATTCTCGACTTTCTTGGAAATGTGGACCGTATCAAATTTAGTTGGGTGCGTTATACACACTCTTCTTAACACCCCAACTATTGGATATACGGGCCTGGAAACTTTACATTTTACATGCCAATTACAGTTTTTATATGCTTATTAGATATCTTTTTCCACTTCCAACACTGTATGATTTGAAATTTACATATCATTCACGTTGTTGCTCTTCTTCAGATCAGATTCTCAGTGATCGGTGGTTATTTTTGACTTTCGTTTTAGATATAGCCCTAGGTCTACAATTAGGCTAACTCCATGTTTTGTTTTTTTTTGTTTTTTTTTAACGAATAACATTCGTTAAAATAGTTAAATAATAAATTTGGAATAACAAAATATAATAAAATTATATATGCCTTTCAATAGGTTATAGGAATCAACGCCGAGTATCCCTATCCTCCCTGTGATTGGTTTCGTATTAACCATAATAGATAATAATAACAATAATAATAATAATAGTTCTATATTTAGTTCTAGTAGCCTACCTAGTCCTAGGCTACTCTACTACTACCTATGGTAGGCCTAAAGTTAAAGGCAAGCACCACAAACAAGGATCCATGGACCATTATATGGCAGACCAATGCTTTTCAATTATAAAATTTAAATCTGCATTATTTAATATTATTATTAGGCCTCTGGCTAGCCTAACTAGGCCTATCTATGTCCTCACCTGCGATGGATTCATGAGATGTAACCATAACACTACTTTACTAGGGTAGATCTAGGGGCCTATTCTAGGCCCTAATCCTCGTGTAGGCCAGGCGGCTAGGGCCTACCTAGACTTCTTTCTTAGTTAGGCGCCAATTTCGAATATCAACACGACGAGCTGCCTCAGTCAGATGTTTTTTACAACGTCGTTACACACCAATCGCTGCGGTACTTATACCAGTCAATTGTTTCACTTTGGATCTAATAAAAAAAAAACCACACATTTTCTATTGCTTTCAAAAAATAACACTTTTATTTTTTTTGCTTTTTAATTCAAGGTCTAGGGCCTAGGCAGGCCTACTTACTAACCTTTTCTGGATAGTTGGTGACAGCGTGACCACCAAAGACACTAGAAATACAAGATAGAGTTCTCGCATTGTAAAAATGAGGCGCAAGTCGTGCCCAACGTAGGCGGCGCCCTTCTTTTTAACCATGCAAGTTTCCTATACTTCGTGCCCAACGTACAGGGCGCCCTTCTGTTGCTAAGTATATCCAAACGCAAAAGGCGCCTTTCCTTTTCCACTAATGGAGGTAAACTTTTTCACTAAGAGTGCGTCCGGCCATGCGATTCTGCTTCTGGATAGTTGGTGACAGCGTGACCACTCACAATTTTTGATATATTATAAGGCCAGGCCTACCCAATGGCAATGACTGGGTCGAAATTACCCAAGATTCAGCAAAAATTGCCCAAAATTACCCAAGCTTCCTGAAAATGCATTAAAATTTGAAAAAAAATGTGTTTTTCGCATGTATAGTTTTCCTTTTAGTTCAATTTATAAACCATTTTTTATTGTAATTGTTTGTGTTAATTATTAAAATTAATATTCATGAGATGATAATACAGATAGAAAAATACGCCCTCAGTCGGCCAGTGTTATCAGTAGATCAGTGATCAAGTTTTATGTAATTATGCATTAATTAGGTAAGATCAATGGCAACGCAAATCACAAATAAACAATTCTGAACCTATGTTTATAGCAATTAACAGTCAATTAACAATGGTATGTGCACTTCGTTGAGTTTTGCTTACTTGAATGGACTGAAATATACTTC